GGAATCGAACCCGAGAACCTGCACTTGCCTAAGCAGGTGTTTAGCCCTGGAGGCATCTCACCAGGCCTGTTTTTCTTGCATATGGCTTTATTCACCTATTTTCCCCTACAATGAAATGCTTCCCTATTTTATTATAATCATCGTGCCAGATTACTATAATTTTCTTTTTTTCTAGTTGAATCTTGACATCACTCAGTCCCAAAACAGTTTTGCATGTGAACACTTAGTAAGTGCTCCACTGAATTTCTCAGTGCTCAATATTGTTCCTATAATAATTCAACAGCATGTCTTCAACTCGTCTCTCACCTTTCATCTAAAGTTATCTCACCTTTTATTGCAAAAATATCAGATGTATATATCTGAGAGACTAACACCTATTAGCCTACTACCAATCACCTATTACCCAGCTTTATTTTATGTATTTATTATTATTATTATTATTATTGATTTATGTATTTGGTACAGGGTCTTACTGCACAGCTCGGGCTCATAGCGGTCCTCCTGTCTTAGCCTCCCCAGCCCTGGGATTACAGGCATGCCCACTATGCCGGTTTCGGTGGCTGACCTGGCGCGTCCAGGGTTCCAGGCCCTGCACAACATGTGGTACTGGGGATTGAACCTGGGTCCTTGCACTTGCCAGGCAGGTGCTTAGATTGCCAAACTATCTTTCTCCCTCTCTACTTTTAAAGTTTCTTTTAAAGTGGATGGAATCAGAATTTCAAGATCCTGATATTGCATTTAGTTGGTTTATCTTTTAAAATTAAATTATCTCTAAAAATATAATGTGCTTTATTCTCAATTAATTCCCTACCATTTATTTATTCAGTAAATTTTTTTTTTTCAGAGCCAGGGATTGAACTCAGGCCCTTGAGCTTGCCAGGGAAGCGCTTATTCCACTGAGCCATCTTCCCGGCCAGTAAATTGAGTTATTTTGTAGTGTTTCCTATGAGTGAGATTTTATTTGTGTTTCTGTAGTGTCTTTCAGGATGCTCATCTGTGCCCTGTATTTCCTTTAAACTGGTACCTTCATCTGGAGATTTTTGTTGTTTTGCTTTGCAAAAACACTTAAAAGGGTATGACATGCCGTCCACTCCAAGCCACGTAATGAACAGGGAATGGACTGCTTTTGTGATATGAATGGTCACTGGTGATTGTGGTCTAGGTGCATTACATTATTAGATGTTTGTTTAGATTTGTTACTTTATTAGATATTTGCAAAATAACTGATAACACCAAATGCTACCAGTTTTCTTCATCATCTAGAATGTATTAAACTTCCTCACACACCATTTGGCTGTCTTGTAGTATAATTTGTACTGCAAAGGCAAGTTGAGTGTTGACAGGCTCCTTAGGCCATAATTATATGTTTTCAGGGTGATGATTTTGTCGCAAAGGGGAGCAGTAATTTCTAGTTAGTATCATTCTGAGCATGTGGGTATCAGCATATATGATATGCTTCAATCCATTGAAACTATTAATTTTATTACTTAAAGTTTTACTTCTTTGTTTAGCAGAATCTACTTGAGGTTGACTTACAGATGTTTTTGACCTGGCTCTAGTGATTGTAGGGACCTTGTTTTCCGGTATAAGAAAATGTTTCAGTCTCATCGTAGATACTTCCTGCCTCAGAGGTGGAAGCAGACATTTCTCCAAGAGCCCTTGTTCATTTTAGGGGGAAAGTGAGTGATCACATGCTGGTGCTGGGTTAGAAGGTAATCAGGGATCTGCAGAGCATGAGAAATGGGCACGTGAGTAGTCGGAGAGTCACCCTCTAGGTAGAAGGACTAGCAGGCGCCAAGACACTGGAGACGGAGCAGAGCATGCAACAGGGAGAGTGAAGGAGGGAACGTCAGGTGGGTGAGCGAGCAGACGGGCTCTGCAGAACTCGGGGCGTTTCTTGAATTGAGGTGGAGCCATCAGAGGGTTTGGGGCAGAGGAACTGCATAACCTTTTATTTTAAATACTGAATCATTATTGAGTCTGTGTCAAGAACTGACTGAAGAATGTTAAGAGCAGAGGGCCGGCCAAATCGCTCAGTGGATTAAAGCTCATGCAAGCAGGGACAGGGGTGAGGTGGGGTTCGCGCCCTGGGCCTGCTGTGCCAGCCCACCCCCGGGGTGCACTGAGACGGCAATTGAGACTGGGAGTGGTGGCACGCGCCTGTAATCCCAGCTCTTGGGA